CGCCGCGCGGATCCAAGGGCTTCATCACACGTTAGCCGAGTGTCCGGATCAGCACTCGACACACGGGCCTGGAACCTGAGACCGCCCTGGGCCCCCAATGAAAATGGGGCCACACACGCTCCCTGGCACTCAGCACCTGCCTGAAAACGAGGCAGGCTTTAGAGAGTGCACATTCAGGTGGGAGGAGCCAACTAACCCAGGGGAAGGGCCGGTGGCGAGAGCCCCTCGGGTTCATGTAGCATGTCCCTGTCTGCCGCGGGGGTGGGGCGGTCTGTGTGCAGCGGGAGGAATCGGTGTGTTCTGTGTCAGGATTTGTATCCCATTCTCCGGCTGTGCGGCTGGGGAAACTGAGGCACAGGGAGGGCAGAGCTGAGCATGGATCATCCCAGGAGCAGCCCCGCTTGCTGGCTGCAGAGCACTGAGCCTCCCGCAGGCTGCTATTCGCACTGCCCCTTCCGTGCCGGGCGGGGAAACCAAGCGGCAGCGTCTCCGGGCCTGATGGCTAACAGGGTGCAGGTTCTCTTGCTGCCCAGGTGCTGTGGGACTCCCGGGTGGGCCCTGAGCTGAGCCAAGGTTACACCTGGGCGTGGCTGTTCCTGCATGTAGCTGTGGCATCAGCTCTCCCGGGCGCACACCTCCGCGTGCAGCTTGGGGGTGGGGAGCCTGGTACGCTGTGGGGCCTGGCTCCCTGGGGCAGCCTGTCTTCCCACGACTGCCCAGGCCAGCAGGGTGGTGGGGCAGGGCCAGGGCTAGCGTGGCCTCTCCTGGACCCCCTCCATCCTGCACCCAGTGGCCCCGCCGGGTCAGTCCACCATCGCGGTGAGAGGTCACCCCCACTCTCCTACGGTGCCCTGCGAGGGGGAGGGTTGGGCTCGTGTCTGGGGCAAGCAGGGTTGTCCCTAGGGGGATGTGGGGCCCAAGACAAACCCCCTCTTCCCCCGCTCTGCCCACCTCTGACACCCCTTCCCCCAAACCGCCTCCCTGCCTGACCTGAGCTGGGGGCTACTATGGGGTCTGGCACAGGGGCAAGGAGCGGAGCACAGTTGGAGAGGGGCGGTGGCGGAGCAGAACAGGCTGCAGGGGAGCTCGGGATCCTGTTGCTGCAGTGAGTGTGGGGTGGGCCCCTGGGCCCCTGTTACTGCCCCCCCGCTACTGCCCCCATGCATCGGACGGCTGAGGTGCTGCAGAAGAGCCCCCCAAGTGCAGGGCCTGGGGCAGCCGTCGCAAACTGCCCTATGGCTCTGATCTCAATGGTTCTCGCTCTATGGGTGCAATGCACACACCCCGGAGCGCGCCTCGGTGCATCTGGCGAGAGATGCCTGGTGCAAAGGGGGGCACAGGCCAGCTGGTGTCTGCAAGGCGCCCCCTCCCCCCAGGACACCCTACAGTCCCGGACGGGGCAGGAGCTGGGAGAAACTCCAGCTGTGATGGAACCTCACGCCCTGCTTCCTTCCCCCGGCAGGGAGGGGGACATCGGCCTCTTGCGGGAGGAGCTGAGCGCGCTGGAGGAGCTGAGCTGCCTGCAGGGTGAGTGAGGCCGTGCGGGGGTCAGGGACTGGGCACCCACAGAGCCCGGTGCTGGAGAGCTGTGGCCCGCCCCAAAGGAGGCTGCGTCCGGAGGGCGGAGCCCTGTCCCCGGCTGGCTGGAAGCTGGGCCAGCGCTGCAGGAAACAGGCGGCGTTCTCGAAAACCTTGTCCCTGGGGGAGAACCCTCCCCCACCTCCCGGGAAGGTTGGACGCCCGTCGGGTGCGGCACTCGCCTTGGACAGGGGCCGCCTGCCTTAAACAACAGCTGGGCTGTTTCTTCCCTAGCCCAGAGAGCGCAAAGCACTGGGCAAACAGCCTGACGCTCCTCGCGCTGGCGTGGCAGGGGAGCCTTGTTAGCCCCACTGCAGGGGTGGGAAACTGAGGCACGAGAGGCTAATGACTCGCTGGAGGGCGCCTGTGGCAGAGCTGGGGCTCCACACCGGCCTTCCCTGTCCTGAGCTGCTGCCAGATGCCAGAGCCACTGGGCTGCTGTCTGTCCCCCCCGCCCCCATTGGCAGCTGGGCTGCT